TCATCATCATTGTTCCCTAGAAGTCCGGAAAGAACTTGGACTTCATCGTTGGAATTGATGTCTTCATCTCGGAGTTGAAATTCCGAGGCAGGCTTCCACGGTTGACTTGGACCCTCTCCCCCTCTTGCATCGGTGGCCTTGGAAACCGGTGCAAGTGTTAATGAATCCTTCAGGTCAGAAAACTTATCAAACACCTTTTGAAGACCGGTGTTGAGTTGAAGAGTGAGAGTATCATAAGCTTCATCAGTTGGCACTTGGGAGGAGAGATGATCAAATAAATGTCCAAGGATAGCAATCATCTCATCAAACTTGTGATTCGGAACATCAACAATGTTCCAAGTGGATCGGAGCAATTTGATGAGGACTTGTTGGATGATCAGGTTCATTTCGTCCTTCTTATTAATTTCCTTCTCCAGCCGTTGAATCTGCTTCTCATGACGAACATAGGTCTGCTTGATGAGATCATTGGTAGCAACAACCAAGTCATCATGGACCTTGAGCAATGTGGTGATTTTATCGAGATATTGCTCAACAGAGGCATCATATTTTGCTTCAACTTCTTCGATCGAATGTTTAAGTCGGAAGGAGATCATTTGATCTAGTTAAGCTTCTTGTTCAACTACGAAAGGTCTGGACAGTTGTGATAAGGACTGGAGAATTGTGTCTAGCTTGGAGTCCAGTCCGGAAACCTTTGTATCAATCTTGGTGTTTAGTCTAGCCACGAAAGTCTCGAGAGAGGTGACCTTCTTCATTGTGTCTGAAACATTGGACTGAATATCTAAAAGAGCAAACAGATCAATATGATTTCCTGCTGAGGATTCGTTGTCTGAGCTGGAAGGTTGAGGATTGTGTTTCGGAGGTTCCATATTGAGTGGAGTGACTGAAGGACCAGGTTTGTTGGTAGCTGCATCATCATGAAGTTTTTGAGTTGATTCGGATTCATCATGAGTGGAGGAGGAGGATCCGAAATCAAAAGTAGGCTTCGACGAAGATGGGTTTGAATGAAGTTGAACTGAGGAAAATACATTAGCATCAGCAACATGTGCAACATCTGTGGTCAACAGGACCTCTTCGGAAATTTCATCATCCGAAGCTGAAGGATTGGAAGCATGAGGATGAGACTTTTGAGTTTCTCCAGATGTGAACTCAAGATCAGCAAGCTCATCTGAAGGAGCAACATAAGGAAGGTTGCTTTGAATGGCCCGGTTTCGCATGGAGATGAGAGTGGCTTCAACTTGGGATCTTGTGAGTTTCGGATGCCTAGAGTGTGCCCTGTTCACAAAATCTTCCCACAAAGGATCATTAGTTCCTGTTCGTCCTGTACCCTTACCAGGTATCAGACTAGTTGAGGCACCAGAGGTTGGAGGAACAACTCTAGCCTCGGAATGCTTGGGGTCCGGAACATGGGTTCTGGAGTGTGTGCGTGTGGAAGAAGTTAGGATAGCAAATGTGACACGTGGGTTTGTTCCGGGGGGGGGGGGGGGGGAGGAACTTTGTTCAACACCGGCATCACCTTTTTGAGAGGATGATGGTGGATTATGTGCAGACTCCCCATGAGTGTGTGCCTGTGTTTTTGAAACATCGAGGAGTACCCCGGATGAGTGGTTAGGAGGGGTGGTCGGAAAGACAGAATCAGCTTGAATGTCATGAGCTCCTTCCTGTTCAGAGGAGGCTCTGACTTTGGATTTCTTTTTAGGCTTTGGATTTGAAGGAGAAGTCTTCCTTTTGGCAGACTTTTTAATTTTGTTCCGGACATAGAAGGATTGGCCTCTTCCGGAGCGGGCTCAACAGAGACTGGGGCAGGTTGTTTTGGGTCAAACACAACCGAAGTCTCTAAATGATGTTTTAAATAAATGGAATCGGAAGGAATTAGGGTCTGATCACATTCGAAGATTGGGATTTCATACTTTTATTCAGAGATTGGAGTTTCTCTGTTTGATCTTTGATGCTATAGATTCCATTACCAGATTCCGAGATTACGACAGCTTCAGCACTTCCGAGACGCTTCAGCACCAGACCCACCAGACCTGCCTGTCGGATGTTCTGCCTTTTATCACTGCTTTACCCTCAACATTTCCGAGCATTTATGGGGAGATTGTTGGAGCATGAAAATGCTCTACATTGTTGAGTGTTTATTAGGTTAGAATATTCCCTTGTATGAAAAGCATATTCCCTCCACAAGTATATAAAGTGGAGGTGATAGTCTTTTTATTCGTAAGTGTTCACTATGTAGACTTTGTAGTTTAGAGAGAGTGTGGTGGGAACTCTCCCACCAAGGGAGAGTTATCTCTCCCAAACCATGAGTGTTCTTGTAATATTTTATCTCTCTATTTATCTACTATAATTTTTACTCACATATCTTGTTCATACACGATTATCTTCTTGGTAATATCTTCTGCACCGATCCAATCGATAAAATGGGAACCTACAAGGGTATGTCGTGAAATGGGGAACACATTCTAGTGCACTTAAAATTGAATTGAATAAATGTTGTCTGTAGATCTTGCTGATGAATTTAAGTGGACAACAAGATACTTAGTCTTCGTCAGCAAAATGGTCTATTTAGGAATATAGGTACAATGTCTTGTCACTTATAATCTGTCCAACTTACAAATATTCTTTGTGTTTAAGTGGATCACAATACTAGTGATTGACCAGAGCTAAACATGCAGGTGTGTGCTGAATTTAGGGGGAGAATAAAAAAAATTCAAACAAAAATTTTGTTCATATTTTTCCTCTATGCACAAATTTAACGGGAGAATTAAAAAACATTCAAACAAAAATCATAAAATCTAAAAAATCCAAAAATATTTTATTTTGAGTGCGTTTTTGTTTATCTAAGTGTGTTTATTTTATTTTATTTTATTTTATGTTACTTCAAATTTTATTTTATTTTATTGTTTTGTTCATCTATGAAACAAATTATATTTTTAAAGAAGCCCATTGATTTCGATAGCCCAAAAGGCCGAGAACCCAATCTCTTTGAATATAAAAGCATTATTTTTTTTCTTTTCGCTTCATTTCTCAAAATCCACACCAAAATCAAGTTGTTGCTTTCTCTTAAAACCCTAGACGAAAACCTCTGCAGTTCATCGAGAAAACTTTTTTTTCGGTTCAAAAATCATCAAATCTCACCTGATTTATTGAAATTTTCTCTAGGTATGCATAGTACGAACATCATGCTTCAATTTTATTGTGTTTTTGAGGTGTTTACAGGTAGCTAATGGCGTTTTCTGGCGTGTTGACAGTAGTTTCCGGTGAAGCTGTCAACATATGAATCGTCGGGTTTTTTTTCGGGTTTTCGGTTTGATCCGAATCCGACAAAAAACCCCTTTGCTTTGACCGAAAACCTTTTACTTAATCGAAATCAATTAATTCACCCGAAAAAGCAATTAAGCTGACCGAAAACGTTTTGGTAAAATGTGGTTTGACCGTAAATGATGGAAGGCTTGACCTTGACCGCAAACGTTTGGTCAAAAGTAATTTGACCGAAACGATCTTGACCGAAAACACATAAACCTTGACTTTGACCGAAAACATAAATTTTGGACCGAAATCAACATTTTTGGACAAAATTTTGTTTTTTTTGAGAAAATAATGTTTAATCTTAACTTTTTATTATTCTCATTTGACTCTTTTGGTGCAGATAAATGGCAAATCAGTTAAAGTTCTATGACAATCACAATGTTGTTGGATATCTTATGGACCCTCTTGCTGCTCATCGAGAATTCAAATCCATGATTGTAGGCTTGAATGATTGCAGAATTTCTCACGCTTTGCGTTCTAATCCAGTCGTCTTCAAGGACCTGATTGTTGATTTCTGGAAAAAATTCCTCTATCAGTAACCAGGGAGCAGATGGAGCTGGTACTATTGAATCAGTGGTGAAGGGAACTAACGTAGTTTTCTCTGAGCAAGTTTTTCAAGAAGCGCTTGAATTTGGTGATGCCCCTGCATTTCTAATTGAGTACCCTGTTAGTCAAGTGAAGGAGATGCTTGAGAAAATATGCTATGAAGGAACCTATCCTCCCACCGTCAAGAAGCAGCTGCTACCATATTGGAGGTTTCTAGCGCATTACTTTGTAAGTTGCATTTCTAGAAGGAAGGCAGGATTCGATGAGATTACTTATACTGCGATCTCAGCTATTGTCACTCCAACAATGAACTGGGATTACATCATTTCAAAGTTTGTCTTTGAAGAAATGAAAAGAAACCTCCAGGGGAGGAAGAATGATCAGTTATTAATGTATCCCAGGTTGCTTCAAATGATCTTCAATGAAAAATATCCCCAAATTGAGAGCTCATCTGACACATTGGATATGAAAGCCTTGGGTCCTAGCACCTTTGGGCTCATGAAACAATCAAGACACTCTACAAAAGTCGTCTATCAAGGATTAAGGGAGCTGGTGAAATTTGGAAAATTTACAGAGACAGAAGGTGTTTAAACTTCAATGCTCAAACTCCTGTGGTGGCCGAAGAACACGTGGTGCCATCAAGACAAAATCTTAGTTTTTCATTTGAATTTTCTGATAATGATGATGATGATGATGATGATGATGAGAGTGATAATGATAACGATGGTATGGATTTTCATATGTTTGTAGCGTTGAAGGAGCTAGTCAATGAGGCTGACACATAAATGGAAATCAACATTTTTAAACAACAAAACGATCCTACGCCCGAGCAGATGGAAGATCTTTTTGACAAATTACAGTCAGCTGCAAGGAAGCGTCCCTAAGTAGTTTCTGTTACTTCTGAGTCTCCATCTGGGAGTGATAAAGACAATTCAAAAGCCTCCTTGCTGTCACGAAAGTGAAAACGTAGAGATCCAAGGCCGGGGGTGCTTTCTACTGAACCAGTACAACAACCTTCTCAGATTGTTGAGCCCACTCAAGTTACTCATGATGTTCAAAGTCCGATTATTGAGCCAACTCAAGTTATTCAAAATGTTCAAAGTCCAATTATTGAACCAACTCAGGTTCATCAAGATGTTCAAAGTCAAATGGCTAATGAGGAAACATTTGTTTCGGGAAGCTCTTCTGCCCCACCACCTCCAGAGCACGATGTTGTATCTGTCAAACTAGCCAAGTTACTTGCTTTTCAAGATTCCATTTCTCAATCCAAAGGAAAAGGAATATCTATTGGCTCCAGGAAAGGAGGTGATGAAGACTCCCATCAAACCATCTCTGAGCTCAAATAAGAGATTATGTTTTTGAAGCAGGAGTCCATTGAGAAGGACTTACTGATTGGTAGTCTGGATGTGAGAGTTTCTAACCTTGAACATGAGAACTCTGTTAAAGATGCGAAGATTTACGAACTTCAAGCAAATCTTGGTGGTCTAACTGCTTTATTTTTTGACCTGAAACAGCGCTTACAACAGATGTTTGGTGATGATTTTTAACCTTTAGGCACTGAAGGAGAAAAGATTTCTGCTTCTAGTTCTGATCCAGTCAATCCACCTTCTCAACATGAAAGTGAAAGAGTTGTAAGACCTGCTCCGGATGCAAATCTTGACACGTTTTTATCTTCTGGTCCTTCTTCTGCTCAAGAAAGAAGAGAGAAGCAAGCTCAAATTGAGCAGCTGAAAAAGAAGATGTTAGTGATGAAGCATTCGGATCAGAATGTTCCAGGTGATCACCCTGAAATGTTTTCAAGGGAAACTGGGAAGAAATTTACTGACAAGTATGGAGATCGCTCTGGCATTTTGATGTGGGGATATGATGCTGACAAGAAAATGTTGATTGTGAAGCGAAAGAGTAGTCGAATTGAGTATTATGAGAAGCCAGTTGACTTTATGTCCTGGACAAAAGTTGATCTTGCTGGACTTATTCACGCCCCTTTCAACAATCCAACCAATGACTTTGCGACCTGGGATTTTAAGAGGTTTCTTGAGGATCAAGCTAAAAAAATTTAAAGGCATGAAGACTGCTTCATCGTTCACGAAAAAGGCTAAGGATGTCATTGATCCTCACACTAATAAAATAATGGTGAATGTTATGTGGCCGCCCACAAAGCAATATAAAAGGATTCCGCTTCCCAAACGTTTACCAGAAGGCACTTTGGACTCAATGCAATTCTGGGTTAATGATGAGGTTACCGCGTCGGCAGTGATCAAGCTGAAGAAGGGCCAGTATCACATTGTCGATCCCAAAGATTTGTTGAAGTTTGGAGAACGTGATATTCATACTTTGTCACATTTTCAACTTATTGTAGAAAATGAATTATTTGAATCTGCTGGCAAAGATTTCACTGGAATGGTTGCCACTACAATTGAGAAGAAGCTGTGGGATGGGGCATTCGATCAATCTGATGTTCATCTTGCAGACAAGCTGTAAAAGCAGCCAACAATAAACCAAGGGGAGATTGTTGGGTCATATTTTTGTGGTTTATGCTGGGCTCATAATGTTTATTGTTCTTGGGCTTAGAATAGTATTTTGTTAATGGGATTTCTATGTTTTCGGTTGTAAGGACCGAAATCACTTTGGTGATTTCCGTCATGATGGGTTTGGGCTTTTGTGGTATTGTACTTTGTGTGTGTGTGTATATATATATATATATATATATATATATATATATATATATATGTGTGTGTGTGTGTGTGTGTGGTGTGTGCGTGTATTCAGCCGTATAGGTGTTATGGTTCCATTCTTTAGTTCACGGCTGCTTTGGAGTTCTTATGTACCAGACGATTTATCTAATATAATCGTGTGCATTTGAAGATATATTCGTGTGTGTTCTTGAATCATTGCTTGATTAATATTCCGCATTCTTTAAGCAATTAAGATTGATATTGTTAAGATTCATTGATTTGGGACTTACACCACCACCATTCTAAATGGTGAGAACTTGAGCTAGAGGTGCAACATGATTTTTCTTCATGTCGGCTTCAGCAGTCTGGAGGAGGTTATAGAGCTCTATCAATGTCTTGTCCATATTATTCAAATGATGACTCACGATGAAATTATCATATGGACTAGGGAGAGATCCAAGAACAAGATCCACAACAAGGTTCTTGTCAAAGACCTCATCGAGATTCTCTAGTCGGTCTTAGTAGCTCTTCATTTATTGAACATGAGCACATCGAACCACCCAATTTAAGTTTGCATGAAGTTAGGGCTTTAACAACCTCAAATCATTTTTCCTTTCCCTTTGTTGAAACATTTCAGCTAATTTCAAGTTCATCTCATATGCCCAAGTGTTCTCTAAGGTCTTTTGGAGATCCGACGACATTACGACAATCATGATGCAAAACACCTTATTTCAGTTATCAATGTGTTTTGAGTGGGCATATTTTTCTTCATCAGTAAGGAATCATGAATTTTGGGGATAGGATCATTGTTCACGTACTCATGATTTTCTTACCGCAATGTACTGCTAAGGTTTCACATCCAATCGAGATAGTTAACCTTGCTAGTGAGCTTCTCTCATTGGTGAACAAAGATAAGAGAAAAGTTTGAATTGTTGGGTGGAGGAGGTGAGAGACGAAGACCATTGATACCAAACATCTAAAAAGAGAAAGACAATTTACTTAGTTGATTTTAATCCTTAATTAATTACCCAATTTATATTAAGGCTAGGATCCAGATTTTAGATTCGTTTTATGAATAGGGATACAATTATCACGACTTTATATTTAGATAGGTAATGCACTTTAGCAATTTGAATCTATATGAAATTCCTAGATCTTTTGAGATTCATTGAAACTGTTCAATGACATGTCAATCTCGGATTTGCACATCCTCGATTTGTACTCGTGATACTGAGCTCTCACAAATAAGATGGTGAACTAAACATGCTAAAATATGTAACCCCTTGATTATGTCATGGATCTCTAATTGACATGCCGGTTAACCATACACACTCTGGCAACAAACTATAACCACAAGTGCCATATCATTTTCTTTTTACGTCTCAAATTTTATGTGGCGGTTAACCGCGCATGCTCCATATATATAATAATGAATAATGCGAATTTTTCATGGGTTAGCAACTATTCACATTTCATAATATAACTAGGATGGGAATTTTTTTTTCTAGTACTTTATATGTAATACTTTTAACGATACATCGTCCAATCAAACCGTTTTGGGTAACGACGGTTCACCACACAAAGAAGCAGTGAGTGAAAAGGACACTCATTCAATGGCCAATATATAGGCCTTTTTCATATACCTCTCTAATATCATGGTATCATGAATAAGGTATACTCTTAATTCGACTAACAATTTATTCAATATATTAGTTTTACATATACTATATATATAAACTATTATGATAATATATAGGGTGTATTTTCAACAATTTGAAAATACATGATTTGAACATATTATTTTTAATGAACTTTTAATTAATTAATTTTAAAACGATTATTTATAATTTCAAATTTCATAGGAAAATATAATCTCTTGGTTTAGTTATTCAGGTCCAATAGATAAAAACAATATTTAAATCTAGAGATAAATCCTAAAATTCAAAATTATAAGCAAACACCCGAAACCCTAAATTTGACTAGGCGTCACCGCGTCCGGCAACAAACAAGTTTCTTTCGATTTTTCATTTTTTTCAAGAATTGATCATAACTAAAACTTAATGGATATGATATCAATGATAGGTTTTATATGCATCTATACAGTAACATTTGGCATCGGAAGCAATTAAATTAACCATGAGTGTATATGCAACCTAGGATATAGGTTTTACTATTTATAGCAACATACTGTCAAAACTACAAAAAGTAATACTACAAAGGGAGAAGGGGGGGGGGGTAGAATCACTAACCTTCAAGAAAAACCATATTGTCTTCTTGAAAACTTGTAGATTTTGAATTAATTGATGCTCTAAGATGATATAGCATCCAAAGTAGAGTGCCTCTAAAGAATAACATCCAAAAGACTAAAACCTACAAAATAAGGAGATAAGAGATTGGAGAGAAACACTCGAACTCTAAGAATGCTACGAGGAAGGAACAAAAATTATGATGGCCATGATGGTCTATTTATAGTTGAGCAAACTCGAAGAGAAAGCAAATGTGAATTAATTAAATAATCAAATTTAATCTGAATTCATACCCTTGCCTGATTAGCAGCTATGGCTGAAAATATCTAAGGGATTTATCCCTTCATCTTTTGTCCAACCCTTCTAGGGTTCCAAAATATTCCAACTGCTCAACTATTGAATAATTAATATTCAGTCACTATGCCTTTAAATAACTTCATGATTAATTCTAATTAATTCAAATTAATTTTAATTGGTTTCTATTTAATTTATCAAGTTATGATAATTTATTAAACTATTTATCCCACTCTCTTAAATCCTTTTCTTAGCTATTTTATTTCTTGATGGAAACCCTAAAAGGATTTTGTTATTATTCCCAAAGTTATACCAATTAGTTATGAAATTAGACACCCATTTCCGACAAATTAGACCAACAACTTAGTTCTACTCAAGTTCCCTCTCAAAGTCACTCCTACATGTCTAACAACCATAAGTATGTATTTTATGCTTTAGTGTGTAAACAGATTACAATATTTTGATGAATTACTTCATATATATAATACTCCCTATAACTTTGCTAGATACAATATATTCAAACTCATCTATTGATTTTAACTATGGCATCTAACTTGGTAACCCTCCAAGTTACCTTCATTCTATTTCATAAGACCATGAGTCTTGATTGCGAACAATATATGTTTATGCTAATATGGAATTATCATGTAACTCTTTACAATGTTATTTTCTTCAATAATATCACTAAACACTTTGAGGTTGCTCTTGATTGCTTAAATTTTGGGATTTTTGGATTATCTATGATATCAATTCATCATGATAGTATCATATGATATATCAGTATTCTTATATAACAATTATGTCTACAGACTCGTAAATTAAGTCATATTTGGTGGAACTAGGACATGGAGGTCAACTCACTCCTAAACCATTAAAAGCTTATTCTATTTGACTTTATCTAACTATTATCAATGTATATACCAACACCACTAGTTTAACCTTCAAATATCTATCTCTATATATCTTCCTTATTTTATTAAAACAATTTTGTTGCCAAGGGTCAATACCTTGTTTAAGTAAGGGCATTGTTTATACTTAAGATTTTATTGTTACTCTTGATAAAAGCTAACATCTTTGATTTTCTAATCATAATAGTATTACTAGATTCAAGATAGTTATTTTAGTCTATTATTTATTTATGAAGCTCATACATATATGGATGTACAAGAATCTTATTAGTGTCATGGACATGTCCTACTTGAATCTTTCATTAATGAAAGTAGTTTTTCATCTGACTGTCATAACACAAAATTTTGTATAACCCTTTGTTATTAATGAAGTTAATTTTCATAACTTTATTCCATGTTGTATCTTACCTTGAGTATCATGTGTGGACTTTACTGTTTATCTCATAGTTTGTAATTTTAATCAATCAAGTCCATACTTGAGTATCATGTGTGGAATGCATATTTGATAGTCTCATTCCTTTAAGCAGACTTAGAGTATGTGTATGGTTTTTAATAGATTATCATACTCACATTGATATGTCATGGTCTCATCATTGTCTTGTATCATTTATATCTTCATTATGTACCACATGCTTTATCAAAATAGATTCACAAGATTTGGTTCTACATCAGGTTTCTAAACAAAACTTTGTTGAGGTTTAATAGGTTTCAACACATCTAGTTAAGAACTAGTGCCAATAGTTGGTTTCATCATTGAATCTTGAACCTTTTCAAGATTAATAA